GCCCCCCCCGCCGCCTTCCTCCACCTGGCCAAGCTCCACTTCCTCCCAGAAAGCTTCCAAGATAAAATAAGCCAGCCCTCGGCTGACTGGCTACATACAACTTAAGGGCCCTCAGTTTACTTTCCAAAGATGTTCCTCCTGTCTCTCCTTCAACCACGCAGCCACAGAGAGCAGAGACCACGGCCCCAGCCCGGCCTGGTCCAGAGTGGTGGGGCCCTCGATGAGAACCGCCCAACGGCTAACAGGAAACAAGGCGCTAGGGAGACAAGGGAGAAAGGAGAGGGCAGAGACTGGGGAGATTCAGAGCAACCTCCAGGAGAGCCAGGGCCCTGGCGGGCAGAGGGGAGGAACGCCCAGAGCAACACAGAGCCAGCCCCGGGCCGCGGGCAGCCGGAGCGGGAGCCAGGCCGCCCGGGCCAGACGGGAGCCACGCTCACCTCCCGCCACCTGCCAGGGGGGCAGAGCCAGGCTGGGCGACGAGGTCAGAGAGACCGGCAGTGCCAGGGCGAGGGTCACACCGTGACGGGGCAAAACCGAAGGCTGCCATGAGCTGGGGAAGGGGCAGCCTTGGCCCGGGAACTGGTCCACGGGCGGGGAGGCTCAGTGCGGATCTGTCCTGCGCCTGCGTGTCACCTGCATGTCTGCCTGGCCCTGGTAGGTGGCCCTGCTCTGGGTGTGTGGGGGCCGAGCTGGGGGCAGGACTGACCCCTTGTCCTCAGAGACTCCGGGGCTCAAATCCTCCTCTGGGCAGTTTGCTCTTCCTGCCTGAGGCCAGCTGCCGACCTGGAAACCAGCTGAGGCCTCTGGATGTGGGGTGCTGGGGAGGGTAAGGACCAGGGCTCTCGGGGCACAGAGGATGGCAAGGGTGGGTCCCCGAGAGGAGGGGTGGCGAGCAGCCTGAGGGAGACCAAGTCTGAGCCAACTTGGCGGCTGGTCCCTCTACCGCCCCTCCCCCACCCATCCCACACCCGGGTCTGAGCTCAGAGCTATATATACCCCCCCAGCTGGGCTGCTCCGCTCTGCCGAGCACCCGTCCACTCCGGCAAGGCCCTGCCTTGGCTCTGCCCCCGAGCCGGTAAGATGAGATGGGGCTAAGCCAGCGTCTGGACCCCAGCGGGATGTGTACTCACGGAGGACAGGTGCCATGGGGGCGGGGGCGGTCGCCAGACTCCACAGGGCGGCCCCCGGTCCCCCTGCCCAGAGCCGACCCACCTGAGTCGGGGCCACGCAGGAGGCAGGCTGGCTTCGCAGAGCTCACCAGGGCCACTCGGGGTAATGGGGTGCGCTGACCACTGCCCCACCCAGCCCCCGCTCCCACTTACTACCTGAGCGACTCTGGGAGGACCTCTTGGCTTCTCTGAGCTTCTCTCTCTGCATCTGCACAGGCTGTCACCCCTCCCCTGTCACTAAGAGGCTCCTGGCCTCGGCCCCTCGCCGTCTCTCAGCACAGGGAAGGAGAGCCGCAAAGGGCGCCGGCAAGGCCAGGACAGTTTGCCAAACACTGTTTGCATCTTGCTTCCCTCACTCAACGGCTCCCCTCCTGCCAAATACAGTTCCACCCCAAGCCCTGCTGGAAGTGCACAGCCCTGCCCTTCCCAAGCCCTGCTTCACTCACAATCGCCAGGGGCCCAAAGATCAAGTCTCCTAACCCCTATACGTTCCTATGTGAATAGGGATAGAAATATCCACCCTTAACGACTAAAAAAAGCGAAGCCACCCAAATGTCCATCAACTGGGTGAACCGATAAACACCATGGGGTCCATCCATATGACGGAATGTGACTCAGTCTTCAAAAGGAAGGACTCCTGGGCTTCCCTGGTGGCGCAGTGGTTGAGAGTCCGCCTGCCAATGCAGGGGACACGGGTTCGTGACCCGGTCCGGGAAGATCCCACATGCCACGGAGCAGCTGGGCCCGTGAGCCATGGCCGCTGAGCCTGCGCGTCCGGAGCCTGTGCTCCGCAACGGGAGAGGCCACAACAGTGAGAGGCCCGCGTATTGCAAAAAAACCCCAAAAACCAAAAACCAAACAAAAACTTAAAAGAAAAAAAAAAAAAAAAAAAAAAAAAAAAAAAAGGAAGGACTTCTGACACCTGCTATGACACGGAGGAACCTTGAGGACGTGATGCTCAGTGAAACAAGCCGGACACAGAAGGACAAATACTGTGTGACTCCACTTACCTGAGGTCCATAGAGGAATCACAGCCATAGAAACAGAAAGTGGATGGTGGGTACCAGGGACTGGGGGAGGGGGGGAGTGAGTGTTTAATAGGGACAGAGTTTCAGTTCGGGAGGATGAGAAAATTCTAGAAACGGATGGTGATGATGGTCGCACAACAATGTGAATGTACTTAATGCCACTGAACTGTACACTGAAAAATGGTTACAACGGTATATTTTACCACCACACACAAAGAAACAGCTGGCCCACGGCGTCACTCAAACACTGTCTGCTGGCTCTCCACCGTCAGCACCTCCTGGGGCCTTCCCCACATGGCAGCACCCTCGGCTTTCTCCATATGCTGAGCGCCTCTTGCCCACCTGTGTTTGCCAGACCATTTGTCCCCTTAAAGCAGGAAGAGGAACCCTGAGAGGCGGCCTGGCCACTGATCACCGCCCCACCCAAGGACAGGACAGCTCTCCAGCCACACCCGGGACCCGCCCTACACACTCCCCACCAAAGCGGCAGGAAGAGCCCAGTATACCAGAGCCCCCGCCTGCTCAGCTCCACAGAGAGGACCTCCATCAGCAGCCCCACCCCGGACACACAGGTGCTCCATACACGGCGGCTCTCTCCTCCACGAAGCTTCCGTAGGGACCAAAAGAAGCAAGCATTAGAGCAGGAAATAGTTAAGCAGGGAGGCCTGGGGGGCCCGGCCCGAGGCGTGGAGGCCCACAGAAGTGGGGCCCCAGCAGAGCCACAGCAGAGGGGCTGGTAAGGAGGGATGAGAGCTTTAACTGTTGACCAAGGAGCAGACCCAGGGTCTAGCTCGAGAGGACCCTGCTTCCCCAACAAGCAGGAGAGAAGGAATCCCTTGGCCCTGCAGGGAAGGTATAGGTAAGGGATGAAATAGGCAGGGCTGTGCAGCTCCACAACTCCCTAGACCAGTAACTAAGCAGATTTGAGTTTGGCCCATTGAATTGTGTTGCTGTCCCCCCAACATTCACGTCCTCCCAGAACCTCAAAACGTGGCCTTATCTGGAAACAGGGTCTTCACAGACGTAATTAGTTAAGATGAGGTCATACTGGATTAAGGTGGGCCCTAAATCCAATGATTGGTAACCTCTTACAGGTGTCCATGTAAGAGGAGGACACACAGAGACACAGAGAGGATGGCCATGTGACAACAAGGTCAGAGATGGGAGTGATACAGCTACGAACCAAGGACACCTGGTGCCATCCGCCACCAGAAGCCAGGAGGGAGGCACGGAACAGATCCTCCACGAGGAACCAACCCCAGGGACCCCTTGAGTTCAGAGTTCTGGCCTCCTGACCCGCAAGGATACATTTCTGTTGTCCAAGGCACCCCTTAAATTTGTGGCAATTCTTACAGCAGCCCTCGGAGATGAGCTGGGTCAGCCCCCATGGGCCCCCCACACAGCTGACAAAGCATCTGCGCTGGGGGAGGGGCACCCATGTGCGGGTGGTCGCCTGGCCTGGAGCCATCTCACGGGGGGCAGGGCGAGACCCTCTGCTGTCAGGGGCTTCAGCCAGTCAGAGACCCCCTCAGCTGCCCAAGACCCACGTTTCAAGCTGAGGGTCCTGGCGGGCTTTCCAGTGTCAATGGGGGCTGACCTGAGCCTCTCAACAGCCATTCAGTGTTTGTTTTGCTCCCCCAGATACCCTCTCTTCCATCCAAAAGTCAACACAGCCCCGGGCAGACCGCTCAGTCCTTCCCACGGGGCTGCTGGACATTGTGTCTCTGTATGTTCCCATCCTCAGCGGCTCAGGAAGACTTAGCCTTACCTGATGGCTCTCGGCTGGAGGGGAACGTCCCTGAGGGAAGGGTCCTCAGCCTCTCCGGGGACACGCCTGTCTGCCTTGTGTACAGTTACATGTGTGCTCACCCTCACCGAGCTGTGAGCAGGGTCTAGATCTCCCCACCCTGCCTGACACACAGCAGGCTCCTGCATGGGGAAGGGAGGGAGGGGATGAGCCAGGACGGCTTCCTAGGCTTCCTAACCGCCTACACAGCCAAGGTGGGAAACTGGGAGAAGATGAGGCATTTGCTGGAAGGATTTTCCCAGCCTGCCCCGGGGGGGATGTTCTACCAGTCTTCCAGTACCACATTCTCACCATCCTCCACATCCACCCAAAGGCGTCTCCTCCGAGGCCCTCCCATCCCTTGGGAGCCCAGGACAGAGTAAAGCAGCGTACACCTGGGAGGAGCCCCAAGAAGTCACCCCCCTCTGTCACTTGGCAGGAGCACGGTTGCTGTGCTGAGGCGGTTGCCAGGCCTGGACCGTGAGTTGGGGGGCGCTGCTGGCCAGGCCCGACAGCCTCCTTACCATACATCTTGCCTTCGTCTGAGAGGATGATCTTGCGCCGACCGCAGGGCGGGTAGATGGCCAGGGCCTCCTGGAAGCTCTGCTCGATGTCGGGGCTCCACACGCCCTCCGCGTCATTGTCGATGGGCTTGTGCAAGGCCTGGCTGCCCCCAGAGACGTTGCTCCCCTCGGGGGAGTTGGGAGAGCTCCACTCGTTGGAGGTAATGGTGCCGGCCGTGCCCTCCAAGGCTCTGCTTGGAGGAGCGCCCGTTGGACCTGTTTGGGCAGAAACCACGGCATCGGTGGATGAATGTGTGGACCAGGGTCAGCGCGGGGGGACCCAGGGAGCACCACCCCCGAACCAGGTGCTCCTCCTTTCCTGGCGATCACGGCACAGGAGCTCAAAGGGAAAGGCCGGGGATCCCAGGGAACAAAGAGTGAGGTGGAAGATTTGGGGTGTCAAGGGCAGGTTATCTCCCATCCGTAGACCTCAGCTTCCCACCCTGTCAAAGGAGCTCAATGACCAGGCTCCCTCTGATCATGGCTCTAAGAACCCAGATGGAGCTGAGAAGTTGGAGACGAGGACCAAGTGCCAGGGATGCTCTACCTTAAATCAAAAAGGGGCAAAAGGATGCAAAATAGTGTGCGCCGTTGGTGGGAACAGAAAATGGGGCATCCACTAGGGAACACAGTATGGAGGTCCCTCAAAAAAATCCAGATAAGAACAACCATATGATCCAGCAATTCCACCTCTGGGTATACACCCAGAAGAACCAAAAGCAGGGTCTCAGAGAGATTATTTATACACCCATGTTCACGGCAGCACTATTCACAATAGCCAAGAGACAGAAGCAACCCAAGCGTCCATGGATGAATGAAAGCATAAACAAAATGTAGTATCTATATACAGTGGAGTATTATTCAACCTTTAAAAGGAAGGTTGAATAACATGGGATGGACTTTGAGGACATTATCCTAAGTGACATAAGCCAGTCACAGAAGACAAATACTGTGTGATTCCACTTAAATGACATCCTTAGGGTACTCAAAGTCATAGAGGCAGAAAGTAGAACAGTGGTTACCCCGGGGTGGGGGAGGAGGAGGTGGGGAGTTGCTGTTTAAGGGGTATAGGGTTTCGGTTTTGCAAGATGAAAAAGTTCCAGAGATGTGTTGCACAACAACGTGAATATACTTTTTTTTTTCTGTTTTAAGTTTACTTTTTATGTTTTATTTTAATTTTTATGGAAGTATAGTTGATTTACAATGTTGTGTTAGTTTCAGGTGTACAGCAATGTGATTAGTTATACATATACATATATCGATTTGTAAATATACTGTTAACATTACTGAACTATACACTTAAAAATGGTTAAGAGGGGGCTTCCTTGGTGGCACAGTGGTTAAGAATCCGCCTGCCAATGCAGGTGACACAGGTTCGAGCCCTGGTCCGGGAAGATCCCAGATGCCGCGGAGCAACTAAGCCTGAGTGCCACAACTACTGAGCCTGCGCTCTAGAGACCACAAACCACAACTACTGAGCCCACGCGCCACAACTACTGAAGCCCACGCGCCTAGAGCCCATGCTCCGCAACAAGAGAAACCACCACAATAAGAAGCCCACACACCACAATAAAGAGCAGCCCCCGCTCGCTGCAACTAGAGAGAGCCTGTGCACATCAACGAAGACCCAATGCAGACAAAAATAAATAAATAAATAATTTTATTATTTTTTAAATGGTTAAGATGATAAACTATGCACCATAAAATTATGGTTTAATTTTAACCATAATTAAAATATGAAACATGCAAAGTAAAATTCAGGTCACCATTCTCTTACTCCATCCCAGCTCAGGCTCTTTTCAGAGGAAGATTCTAGCCCTGGCAGATTCTCACATGTTGGGGATATGGCGAGGTTGACTGGCTGCTACCTCCAGAAGGTGACAACACAACCTTATTCTAGTCACTAGCATGAGACAAACCCAGTGATCTCTTGGCTCCAACTGTCCAAGCTGTGAATTTCTGGACATGATTCTCAGGAGTTTGGGAAGAGGCAGTTTTTGGATTATGAGTACCAGGTGGGTACCATTGGCCTCCCAAAGCCCTCCCAAGGTCCCAGCATCCCTCCTCTCCCAGCCACCAAGCGCATCTGCAAAGGAGGACCCCCTCCCCATCACACATGTCACCCCCTCCCCCATTAGCCATGAGGAGCAGTGTGGTCCAGCAGCCCAAACCCAGGGCCAGGAATTGAAACACAAGCTCCCACCCACTTCCATCCAGGACCCTCTGAGATAAGACCTCCCCAGAGCACCCCTCACTCTCTCTCCCTTCCCCAGGCCTGTCAGAGGTACACATTGTTCACAGATAGGTGGGTATGAGGGTGAGCATGGTCAAGCTCACAAGGAGAAGCTGAGTGGGGGTCAGCACATACTGGGAGGGGTTGGAGGTTCCAAGAAGCCTGTCGTGGCTGCTGGCACAAACATGCAGTTGGAAGGAGGTTAGAACCACTGAAATTCAAAGTATGAAACCTAACCCAATCCTCTCAGCTTGAGGATGGGGACATTGAGACCAGAAAGGCCTAGGGACGTGCCCGAAGTCATGCAGCAAATCAGTAGTGTAGCTGGGTCTGGATCTCCGCCCTCCAGGGTTCCAGGTCTTTTAGCATAACAAATGTCAACTTCCTCTCTGTGGCCAGTTAAAATAAGTTTTTCCTGAAGTGTGTCTGAGGGGGTCACTTGATCTGGAAGAAACTAGCTTATTCTCTACCAGAAATTCTGGTCTTGATCCTATTGTGAATGTTGAAACATTTTTCTGTACCTTCCAAAACAAACTTCTTTAAAGAGTTCCTAACTTTAATTTCTGGCAATACGGTAGATAAGATGGTTCTTAAAACTCACTCTGTAAAAGAATCTAGAAACGATAAAACATACGAAATACACTTTTAAATACATAGCTGACTTCAGAAGAAAGTAAAGAGGCCCCAAATGAGACAACTCAAACCTATAACAATAGGCAAATGAGCTGTCACTACAACCCCAGGAAGCAGAGGATGAAGCTGATCTTAGTAATGAAGACACTGGGTTTTAGTGGCCACCCAGAGACCTTACAGCTGAGAGATACAGGGAGGTTGGAACTGCGAACAATACCTCAATCCTCAGAGAAAAGGTAGACTATTCACAAAATAGACTAGGAATACTGCCTGTCTTGGCCTAAGCCCTAGGTATAAAAAAGAATTTTCTTTCCTAAGAATTTGTAGCCAAGGGCCTGCCCTTAAGTGGATTTGAGATTTGTATTTTATATTACGCAGGAACCCCCAGCCAATTCACAAAAATAAATAGTGATCCCAGGCTGAAAATCTCTGAGAAGACAATCTTAACTCAGACTGCAGAGATCCAAAGACTCGCTCAAGAATCTCAAAATCCAAAATTACAAATTATAAGAGGAAACAGTCCACCATGATCAAGATTTGATGGGATTGGATCCCCCAAGAACTATAGATAATTGAACAATCAGATAAAACTATTATATAATTGTATTTAAAATGATTATTGACTTAAGGAATTGGAAAGATGAGAATTAGACACTATCAAAAAGTACAAAGCAGGCTGGGAAAAGAACCAAATAGAATATTTAGAAATAAACATTTTAGCCACTGAAGTTAAAAACTCAACGACTGAGAGTAACAGCAAATTAGACACAGCTAGAGAAAGAATTAACAACCTGGAAGATATATCTGAGGACATTATTCATAAATGCGTTAAAAAGAAGGAAGAAAAAGAGCAAGAAGAATACAATAAGGCAGTTCAACATACCTTCAATTAACATTTGAGAAAGAGTATAGAAAATGAAATAGAACAACATTTGAAAAAATAATGGCAAGGAATTTTCCAGGATTAATGAAATACATGAATCCTCCAATTCAGGAACCATACTAAATCCTAACCAGGATAAATTCAAATAAAATGAACAGATATTATAGAGACACTGAAGAATACCAAAAACAAAGAGTAGATCTTAGAAGCATCCAGAGTGAAGGGGCAGATTACCTACAAGGGAAAGACTGTCATACTGATTGTATATATTGATAGTGAACTTGTCAACTGGAAAACCCACGACAACATCTCCAAATTATGGAGAGAAAAATAACTGTCAACCTAGAATCAGAAACCCAACCTAAATATCATTCAAGAATGAACATTAGGGCTTTCCTGGTGGCGCAGTGGTTGAGAGTCCGTCTGTCCGTCGCCCACAGCAACGAAGACCCAACGCAGCCAAAAATAAATTAATTTTAAAAAACAAAAGAAAGGAAAAGAATGAACATTAAATAAAAGCATTTTTCAGACAAAGATGGAGAGAATTTAGTAGTAACAGACCCTCACTGGAAAAAAACAAAAAACCAACAGTTTTGTTTCCTTTAAGAGGTATCTTTAAAAAAAAAAAAAAAAAGGAACTGGTATGAAAAGATATTACATATATGGAAGAATAGTGAGCAAGGTGACTGGTAAAAACGAGTGAATCTAAACAGTACTAACTACATAAAAACAATAACAACAGGGGCTTCCCTGGTGGTGCAGTGGTTGAGAGTCCGCCTGCCGCTGCAGGGGACACGGGTTCCTGCCCCGGTTTGGGAAGATCCCACATGCCGTGGAGCGGCTGGGCCCGTGAGCCATGGCCGCTGAGCCTGTGCGTCCGGAGCCTGTGCTCCGCAACGGGAGAGGCCACAACAGTGAGAGGCCCGCGTACCGCAAAAAAAAACAATAACAACAACGAGGATGACTAAGTTTGGCCACACAGTACATACACACATGCAAATGCAGAAAAACCGTATTTCTGAACCATAAGCTCAGAAAACACATTTGCTACAAGACCCATTCACAGTAAAAACTCTTAGCAAACTGTAGAAACAAAAGGAACTTCCTTAATCTAACAACAGATTTCTTCCCAAAACCTATTGTGATATTTTGATTTATAAGAAGTACACATTTGGTCTTTGTCCTGTTTCTGAAACAGAGCCCCCAAAATCCTTGAAATTCCCTAAGTGCTGAGAGCCATAAAGGTATCTTTTGTTACGGGAATGAGGTGCACCTGAGGATGGGGGCTGGTGGCCAGGAGAACCACCCAAGTGATTAGAGGGTGGAACTTTCAGCCCCACCCACCTGACCTCTGGGGAGGGGAGAGAGGCAAGAGTTGAATTAATCACCAACAGCCAACGATGTAATCAACCATACCTCAACAGTGAAGCCTCCATAAAAACACCAAAGGAGAAGGTTCTGAGAG